TGCTAGATGGCTCAGCTGTTAAAGACCGGAGTTAATCCCCAACACGCAGATGACAGAAGAAAAGAACAACCTCCCAAAGTTGTCCCCTGACCTCAACACTGGGGCACACACACACACACGCGCACACACACGCACACACACACACACACACACACACAAATTAAAAATATTAGCTAGCACGAGTATTTTATAACCTACTTTGTATCTTTATCTAGTCTGCTGAACAGAAGTTGTGGAATTCAATCTTTGTTAATTCCTGCCTGTGCACTGTAGGCCTGGTGCCGCCAAAGGCCAGAAAAGGGTTCAAATCCCTGGAACTGAGGATAAGGACAGTGGGGAGCTGCCATGAGGGTGCTGGGAATCAAACCCAGATCCTATGGAAGCGCAACCAGTGCTCTTAAGTGCTGAGCCATCTCTCCAGCTCAGAAACTCTCGCTATTTATTTAGTTAGTTAGTTAGTGTGCATGGGTGGGGGGTGCAGAGAGAGAGATGTGGAGGCGGCACGCGCACGCACGCCATGGGTCAGTGCCGCCCTTCCGCCCTGTGGCTCTGAAGTCTTTCTCCAGTCACTGTGCCTGGCGGAAGGGCTTTCACCCACTGAGTCACCTCACTGCTCCTGAAATCTCCACAGTAGGTTCTTCAGAAATCTAGTTGTGGACAGACCCAATTCAATTTTTTAAACATCTAAAAGGAATATACAAGTAATAGTAAGATGCCAATACCCTTATAGAAATGACAAGTAGAGGAATAATTTTTCTTTTTACTACAGATTACTTGTGATGAAATTTACATGAAAGGGTCGTTTTCATCATGTTAGCAGTATATCAGTGAGTATCAATGGAGATTTCTGTTTAGCTTTTTAATGTATTAAAAGGAGAGAAAATTTTAAGCTAGCAATTTTAAATTTTAACTCAAATGTATTTGGTAAAATATATTTTGTATCAACTTTGCATGCTAGATTTATTTTCCTTTGTGATTTTCTTTACATAGGTTGACAGTAGTTGCATGCACATGTACATACATGTCTGTATATATGTATATACACACACACATATATATATATGTAGAGGCCAAAGGTCACCTTTGGTGTCATTCCTTAGGAGTTACCCCAACTTTTTTTTTTTTTTTTTTTTTTTGGCAGGGGAGTCTCTTACTGGGACCTGGGGCTGGCTGATTAGATTAGGCTGGCTGGTTAGCCAGCAAGCTCTAAGAACCCACCTGTCTCTGTGTCCCTAGAGATGGGATCACAAATCTGGAACTTTAGGTCGGTGCTGGGAACTGAACTCAGACTCTTATGCCTGTGTAGCAAGCCCTTTCCAGCTGGACTGGCTCCTCTGCTCCCTTTATGCTAAGATTTGGTCCCTGACACATTTTAACATGTGTGTACAAGATGAAAGAACCAACTACATCAGTAAAACTAAAAGAAATAGGACATTTTGCTAAATTGGAGGAAGTATATATAAAACAGAAAATCGGAATAAAGAGAAACAGTGAAATAAAATTTTTCTTCCCTAATTTTCACTTTAGACTTTTATTTTCTAAGACAATGAATGAATGAAGTCGGGAGTGTGGAATGGTGTCAGAACACTTCTAGCAACCCCAGGCTCTGGGTTTTGGTTTCCAGCACAATCTTGGGTATGAAAGCACAAGGTCAAATAGTAACTTTATACACTGAGAACTATGTAACCTACAATAAAAGAAACACAGTTAGAAATCATGATTAGCCTAAGTTTATTTCATTAATAGTACTCAAGCTAAATTTGTTTAATTAAGAATTTAATTAATGGTAATCACACGCCTAAGATTTCTTGTTCATTATTTTCCATATTGCATTTGTCATTTGTTTGTGAATATAGTACGTTCTTAAGATTATATTAAGGATTTAACAGTATTGTGGGCTTTGATAAAATGAATACTTAACTAGACAATGATGAAAGCATTCCTTGTTTAAGCATAGTACCGCAGTATTTTAATAACATCAAACTTCATAAAACCTTAAATTGTTAATGTGTAAATAGATTTACATATATGACAATTTCAAATAATCTCTCAAAAGATCGTAAAAGGATCTTGAAAAATGATTCCTCGTAAGTTAACTTTTTAGGTAGTCTCAATGTTGAGAGGGTTTTCCCCCTATGCATTAACTCTCCATCTACTGAATGTTTTCTCTAGCACTGGAGAAACAGGCACATTAAATCCAGTGTCAAGACGTTCCTATCTTGATTGGAGAGAGGTGCAGTTAGTTAACCAAATGCAGTGTGTAAATAGGACTGTGGAAGACTTGACACTAACAATTTTAGACTAGAAAGATAGGATGACAGAGAGGAGCGTCTGTGCCAGGTACTGAAGTGTGAGCAGGAGCTGACAACTATTTGACTTGCAGCTCTAAGGGCTCTAAGACCTACTTCTGGCCTCTCGGCACACAAGTGGAACAGAAATACATGCAGGCAAAACACTCACACACATAAAACTAAAAATATAAAAACTGTAAAAATAAAAATTACAGACAACATGAACCTTATAAACACAAGATGAACAGATCTTACTTCTTTGGCAAGTTATTCGAACAAATGTTTTGATCTTTAGCCAGCTGGGTTTAGACAGGCAGCTGATACAGGCAGGCAATTCCATAGGCTAAAAAATTCTAATTCTATCCAAAGGGCCAGCAATGGTCCAGGGATAAAGGCACCGAGTCTGATCCCAGAAACAAGTTATCCGCTAACCTCCACACATACTGCTTGCTCGCTCGCTCTCTCCCTCTCACAAAATAAACAGATGCATTTAACACACACAGAGTGATTTCAGTGAACACTAATCAAAGCCTTGTGTGCTAGATAATGCCCTAAGTATTAGTCTTCAAAACGAATTACTCTTCTCAGAAGAAATTCATGAGCCAAGTAGGCAAAATATTTCAAGAAACTAAATATATGTAAGTGATGAACTATAGCATTTCAAGAACTCGAGATGCTCGACAATTAGATATAATGATGGCATCCACTTATTTCCCATTTCAGTAGTCAACACAAGAGCCTGCGGTTTCTCAAAACAGGAAGTGAAAAACACTTTGAAAAGGGGCATCTAACTGTAATTATAAGTTTAAACGCTTAAAATTTCACTTACTATTTTCCACGAAAATGATGTTCTACAGACTGTTTGTTTTAATTCTATAAAAGTGTGTAGTGACTTGACTGTATTAAAAAAAGCATTTAACTCAAGCACCCAAATCACTGTTGATATCACTCTCACTTCCTCCTCTGGAAACCATCATAACCATTTCCTTTAACCACAATACCGCAGCACCACTTACTTTTAGCAACATTTGGCTTGCTTTTTTTTTGGTTTTTCGAGACAGGGTTTCTCTGTTTTGGAGCCCATCCTAGGACTAGCATTGTAGCCCAGGCTGGCATCGAATTCACAAAGACCCACCTGCTTCTGCCTCCCGAGTGCTGGGATTAAAGGCGTGCGCCCCCACCACCTGGCAACTTGGTTAAAAAAAAAAAAGTCCATATAAAACTTGATTTTCAAATTTCTTAAGCAGTGAAATCCAAAAGTTGCCTCCAATGCAACTTACACTACCCAAAATTAAATTTTCCTAACCCCGAAACGTTACAATCAAGGAGTGAATGCACAGGGCTCTGCCGTGTCACAAATGGAATGGGGACATCCCAGGTCAAGACTGGGCTGTGTTTAGAGACAACCATTCACTGGAACCAAGGGAGTAGCCAGAACAACACAGCCATCCTTCCTTTCCCGACGCTTAGTATCACTAACTGAAAACAGTGTGCTTCAGAAGGGCAGTGTCTAAATCAAATTGGAGGAGTAAAACAAGTTTATTCTGGAATGCTTTGACTTTCATTTTTAAAAGAATCTTCATCAATACTCATACACAACCTGTACTCTATTGCTATGGTCAAAACTATATTTGTTCCAGTTTTTAAAACGAGATTACGAAAAATATGGTACAGATACATAGACACCCACAAGGATGAAGGGGTATAAACTGTACCACAAGCAAACTTCTCTCTACTAAGTTCAGAGGCTTATCGCAGCTGTCTCAAAATAAATGAACTTGGGATTGTTTGCCTGAAAGGTAAATTAATGGCATGTTTCCCCCTATCTTTATCTCTACTTTTCTTAACTTCAATAGAGCCTTGCACTCCCTAAACCGAAGACACTGACTGCCAATAGTTGTACTGACTAGTTACTCAAATCATCGGAACAGCAACGGGAACAGATTTCGTCTTTATTTTACACAGCCATTGTACTGTAAGGCACGGTGCCTTGGTGCTCATCAGATAGGGTTGGGAAAACTAAGACGAGGAGGAGCAGAGAGGAAAGGTTGTTATTCCTGTTCTAGTGACTCACAGCCCTCAACTATTTCAGACGAAAACCGGTTCCACCCTCACTTCCCCCTCCTGTCTATCTCCAAAATGAAATTCTCCTGAACGTCAACATGCTGTCGGGGGGAGGGGGTGCTTTATCCAGTGACCGAAAAATCAAGGAACCAAGTGGGGAGCGGAGGGAGGGTCGGGCGCCACATTCCCCCACTCCCACGCCGAGAAACCCGGGCCCGTGTGCCGCAGCCCAGGAAGGC